CTCTCTCGTTCCTGCTTGGATCTCGTTGCTGGCCGTTCAGATTTTCCTTGTATCTTTTCCTCCGCCGCTGGTGGTCCTTCCGCAATTCGGCGACATTTGCTGCGTAGAGTCCTGTCCGATGAGTAGATCTTCCGTTTGGGAGCCGGGTTTTAGTTGCCGTTATTTCTCCTGGCTCTCTTTGCATTCGTCGTACTTCTCCCTTCTTCATTCTGGGGGTGGTCGTGCGCTCTCTTTTCTGGTGGGTTGAACGGCTTCTTTTCTTGTTACCTTCAAATTTCCAACGGGGAAACTTTCTTTTCAATTGCTCCTGCCTCCTAATGGCTTGCCCTTGTACTTGTCGTTGCGGAGTATGTTTCACCATTCCTGGCTTTTAACATCACTACAGCGTGAGTTATTTTTTCTATGACATATGGTCCTTCAAATCGTGGAAAAAATTTGGCAGTTTTATCTTCTGGTGCTGAAGAAAGTGAATGCTTAATTTTTATTACTTCATCCCATACTTTATAAGTTACTCCCCGTCGTTTCAAGTCATAATATAGCTTTTGTTTTCTCTGTGCTACTTCAGTATTCTTTTTTACTTCTTTAATTAGTTTTTCTATATCACCCATTTTAAATTCTGGGGCTCTTTGTTGCACATAAAATAATTTATCTAACGGCGTTATAATCTTTCTGCCTAAAAATAACTCAGCAGGAGTTTTGCCCGTTGTATCATGTTTTGCGGTCCTAAGGGCGAAAGCAAATTCATTGACATAGTTCTCCCCAGCTGTTATGAAAATTTTTAACATAACTACGGATAATTTTCACTATATTTCTATTGAGCCGTTCCGCTATATTTGATTGCGGCCAATACGGGACCATTTTTAAATGACGTATGCCCAGTTTTTGGCACATGTCTTCAAATACATTACTTACAAATTGAGGACCATTATCCGATATAACTTTTAGGGGCGCCCCGTATTTTAAAATATATTTATTTAAAATAGAATCAGTAACTAATTTCGCGGAGGCTCGTTTTAAGGGAACAATTTCGGTCCACTTACTAAAATGATCAACCATAACAAGGAGATAGCGACTTTTATTTAACTAACTTTTTGGAAAGGGCCCAATAAATCGATGCCAATTATTTCATTTGGAAATTCGGATTTAATACTATTTAGAAACCCGGCCGGGAGGAAATTAATATAATTAACTGCTTTACATGTTGGGCAGGAATGGACATACGCCCTTGTTAACTTTTGCAGTTCAGGAAAATAGACTGCCTCGCGTACGCGTTGGATAGTTTTTCGAATACCAGCATGAGAAGCTAAAGGGCTGTCATGGAGCTCCTGCAGGATATTTAATCTAAGACTAGCTGCGATAACAGGTCGAAATTCCTTGTTGGAATTCGTAGTTTTTGTATAGAATAATAGACCATCTATTAGTTCGTAATGGGTCGCCCTATTTCTTATCGCCACAATATCTTGGTGGCTAAAATTTCAGGATCATTTAAATACTCATAAATGCTTCCAAACTCAGGATCCTTACCCAGTTCGGTTATTACAATTTCTCGGGAATTTATTGTACATGCTGTGAGCATTGCCACCTTTACAGTATTACCTTCTTCATCTATTTTAATTCTAAATAGGGCATCTGCTACGATATTTTCCTTTCCGGGGGTATGCTTGATTACCAGATTATATTCTTGTAGCTTGAGTGCCCATCTTATTAACCTTGGGGATGAGTTTTTCCCTGAGTACAATCTAGTTACCGCCGCATGATCAGAGTACACTGTTATTGGCGCCTTTCCAAAATAGACTCGGAACTTTTGCACTGCTAACAGAAATGCAAGTGCCTCTCTCTCAGTCGCGGAATAGTTCTTTGTGTTTGATTTAAAGTTCGGGCTAAAAAATGCCACGGGCCTGCTGATTTTGCGAAAGTACCGCTCCTACCGCATAATCCGAAGCATCCGCTGAAATTTCTAAATTCTCATCCTTTTCAGGAAATTTCAAACACAGGGGCTTGCGTTAATGCTTGCTTTAATTTTTCGAAAGCACTATTGGCTTCGGCCGTCCACGAGAATCTTGCCTTTTTCCTTTTTAATTTTAACAATGGCTCAGCGATAGCTGCAAAATGTTTATAAAGGACCTATAATATGAACAAAGTCCTAGAAAAGAAGAGAGCTTCTTTGCCGTGTTCGGAGTCGGATACTTTTGTACAGCGATATTTTTGATTCGTCTGTCTCTATTCCCTTCTGAGATATTTTGTAACCTAAATATTTTAATTCAGGGGCTGCAAATTTGCACTTTTCGACATTAACTTTTAGACCGGCCTCATTTAATATAGGAAATACCTGTCTTAAATCCTGTACATGTTGGTCGAGATTATCACTAGTAATAATGATATCGTCTAAATAGATAAATGTGGACTTTCCAAGAACAGGCCTTAACACAATGTCCATACATCGCTGAAATGTTGCCGGTGCCCCTGAAAGGCCAAACGGCATACGCAAAAATGCATAAGTGTCAGACTTGGTTATAAAAGCAGTCTTAGGCACGTCCTCCGGTCTAATCCCTATTTGAAAATAACCAGTCGCACCCTCTCGTCAGCAGTCAGTTCCGCACCCTCTCGTCAGCAGAAATCCGTTTTAGTTTGAATTATTTTTCATTTCCGTGCTTTCCTTCTTTTTCCACTGGCTTTGAGACTTTTTTCCTGGATCGCTATTGAAATGTCGACGTTCGCCGGCTGTTTTTGAATGCTCGAGTTTCCTTGCCAACTGATTCGCTTTGCTTCCGTAGCCGTGTGCTTGAGTTTGCTGTAGTCTTGGCGCACCAAATTGATTTCGCTGTTGATATTGGCGTCTTCTTTCAATGTGCGCCGTTCTTCTACTTTCAAACTAGATTGCTTGCTCAAATAACTTTTCCAGTGTAGTCGGATTTCTTAATTCAATAAAGTCCAGCAATTGGGGCAGTAACCTCGGCAAAATCACTTGAATTATCTCAGGATCCGGACGGTTTCCATACAAGAGTTTGAAGACGTGAATTTTTTCTTAAATATAAGCTTGAGAGATTTTCGTTCTTTGCTGATATATACTAAAAAGTTCGTTCGTTTCTAATTTCGCACGATCCCTTACAACCAGGGAAGGCTTTTACTAGGGCAGTCTTGAAATTCTCGTAAGTATAGGTGGGACTTCCTGCTTGACCCAAGAGACTTCTGCCTATACATTTGAACCAGTAAGCGCTTGGCCCTCAAAGCGCTGGTAGCTAAGGTGACTTTTTGGAACTCATGGCACTGGATATAGCATGAAGTGGGTCATCCAATTTTTCCAAAAAACTGGTCACCGGTGAGTTTCCACCGAAATGTTGCTTCTGGTTTCATCGATGCGCGCATGGTCTGGGCGATGTAACCAAATACTTCCAGGGCGGCAGCTGGCATTTCTGGATTCTGAGCCGCTGCTGCAGGCAGCTCAGGTTCTTCTTGAAACTCGTCCATGGTTATTCTTATTCGTTCGGGCGCGTCACTATCAGGGCTTGTCAATGTTCGTCTTGATTTGCGTTCGGGAAACGTGCAATGGTCCTGAACTCGGAACAGGGCGCTTACTCAAGCTATGTTCATAACTGTGGGAAGTAGACAGGATACACAAGAAGGGTATACAAAACCCTTTATTTTTCTCTATTTACAATAACTTCCGTACCTCGGAATACAAAGACCCACTACTTGTGGTCTAAACGTAACAATATAAAAATAAAACTAAACTCTAATTTAACTTTAAAATAATAACCGTGGAAGATTGGCCTTACATTAACAGGAAGCCGTATGTAGTACAGAGAACTGTGAACACTACAATATGTTTAAAGTTATCAAGAGGAGTAAACCTCTGGCATGGAAGGCAACCAGCAACTGAGTAAAACTTCTAAGGTAAGCGGCCTGCTTCGACTAACTGCTTTCTCTCTCTCGCTTGGCAAAAAGCCACAACTTAAATACTTGGCATTCGGCAGACAAACTTTGCATAAATACGTTAACGCTTATAATTCTGGCCGGAAGTAGAAAATAAGTGATAGTAAAGATTTAAAATAAAATAAACGTTAGTAAAACTTAAGAACCTTACAAGGCAAGCGGCCTGCTTCTACTAACTCCTTCCTCTCTCTTTTGCTTGGCAAAAAGCCACAACTTAAGTACTTGGCGTTCGCAAGACAAATTTGCATAAATAAGTTAAAGCTTTTAATTCTGGCCGGAAGTAGAAAATAAGAAGTGATAGTAAAGATTTAAAATAAAATAAACGTTAGTAAAACTTAAGATCCTTACAGTTGAAACCCCTGTATTATTAGGTGAAAGTCGGTTCTATGCAAAATTTCTCTGTACTTCAAAGAGGCTACAGTGCGGTCCTTTCTTCGAAGAACAAAATATTCTTCGCTTTTAGAGATGTTGGAAAATTTCAAGTTTTTAAATGGAAAAACACCGGATTTATATTCACAATAATATGTGGTTAAAATATTTCTTAAATTAATAAAATGCTACATTAAAGAATTCTAAATAAGCAAAATATATTATGTAATTATATTAAATTTGACTATATAATAATAAAAACTATATTTCATGCGTTAATCACTTCTGTAAACTAGCTTAGATTCAATAAGATTTAAAACTTACAGTAAATTTCCGTTAAATTAACATTGGGTAAATATAAGCGTACAATTTTAAGATGATTGCGTCATATATAGATGAATTAACATTTTCTTATATCCAATGCACTAAAACTTTTCCATCCGTATGTGAACTCTTCAGAACTTTTTTAAGGCGGCAAAACTATTCGTGACCTTAAACTCATAAATTTAAAAAACTTTGTAATCTACAGAGATATTCTTATATCCTAGAGAACACTAGTTTATATTATCCGAAAATAGTCTCCAACTTTCCTTTAATAAATGCAAGAGCGAGGTAGTGAGTGAGAAAGCGGAAAGACATGGTTAATATTTCATGAGGTTCAGCTCCGTTCATAATGAAGCAAACCCTTGTTCACTTACCGAGACGTTGATATTGCACTCCCGGTAATCCACTTTTTCTTCCCTCGTGCTCTCGTTTATTTCCCATGCGCCGTTTTCCGAACATCTTTTCCTCACTCTTCCTATGAAAGAAAACAAAGACGAGTCAGACAATTATGAGAAGAACAAACATGCATGTATGGCACTTTCATATTGAGACACGGCAAGCATCTCTTCTCATCTGCCCAAGTAATCACGAATAGCAGAATCATTATTATCTTTGATGATATTCTTCTTTATTAACACATCAGTGCTATTAGTTACACCCCTGTGATAAATTATAATCGCCAAAATTATGCACTTATTATTAGTACCATGTGCGTTGCTATCTTTGGTTCTTAGAAATAAGGTAATTCTGTGACTGAATTTTATATTATTATCCAGCTAACTGTGAATCGCAAATACATTATCTCATTGTCGAGATAATGTATTCGAAAGTCACAGTTAGCGATTATTTGCAAATAAAATATGATGAAAAACATGGCCTCATGCAATACTAACATCCATAAATTCTGTAAGTGTATTAAGTAACACTATCGGATAAAGATAGTTTGTGATTGCATCTTTGATTATCAAGCAGCCATAAAATTGAAATTCTGCGGTTAGGATTTACAATTAAAGATTGATAAAAGAATTTTTAAATATTGATTAAGGATGTAGATATAAGCTTTTGAAAGTTACATATTTAAATAAATGGATATAAGTATTACATATTTACTTTTTGCTCAGTTATACAGTGCTTTTCTTATAATCTACTAGTTAGTTTCCTAATCCAGCACAAATCTGACACAAATAATTTAGTTTAATAATAGCAAAGAATTAAAAGGCTAACACTCTTAAACGAAATGCCTTTGCGAAAGACTTTTTACAAGAAATACATTCTTACTCACGTTATTCAAAGAAAACATGGAAAAAGACATGAAACCAAGCCGTTCATTCAGAGAAAACAAAACTTAGGAAGAACTATGAGTGTTCAGTAATCTTACCTCCTCACTTATCACATTTGATTTAAGTACACAAGTCCAAGTAAAAAGTTTAAATATGGTATATTACAAATGCTTTTATAAGTTTTGCTACGCTTATAAGTTACGGAGATTTAATGCTTTCACTCCTTTTGATTCACGCAGTTTTAACCTCCTTTTAACTAATCATTGTGTGAGCTTTTTGCTGCAGTCTGCGTATATCTATCTACTTGAAAATGATTTTTTCCCTCAGGATCCGATTAAGGATCTTTGCCTTATAGTAGCACATATTAAGAAATATTCATGTACTTAATTATGCAGGAATGGTGAAGTGCAACAGCAGTACGACAAATTGTTCTATATAGGACATGAAAAGTACTTTAGCAGGACATTTCTTGAAAAAACCTTCAAGCCTGGTTGCGGCAAAAACGATCTTCAAACGAAAATCACATTCTTTGTCTCTTGTTACGAGATGGAAGTTAGGTACTTTCGCGAAAGCTGAAGGTGCGTGAAACCGATAGCATAAGCTGCCAGTACCTCGATTATACAGCTAGTAGAAGGTTATATAATTTATAATATAATTTATATATAATTTATAATGGGATGCTTTTAGTTTAATTAAATATGCATTTTGCATGACTAAGTTACTTGTCTTGGGCAGAAATTGAATAATAAATAGAGATTTGGTCTGAAAAGTTGCCCTATCTATTCTAAACCGAAATATCGGTTGCGGAGATTTCTGTCGACTAAATGAGGATTCGCGCCAAATCTTTTGAAGAAAGATATTAAGTCGCCAGTCACTGTGGAAACGTAGATTGTTTTGATTTGCGATTTGCCTTTGTTCAATAGACTATTGATGCACAATTTTACTGAAAAGTATTATTTCACCATCATATGCTACTTTCAGTCGTTCACCATTGTCCACAAGAAGACTTGCTCTTTCAAAAAGATAATCCAACTCATATTTTACGCGCTGTTGAGAGTTACGTTCCTGGGTAAAAATAGAGTCCTAAGCTCTGCACTGGATCTTAAATTCCAATCTTGCCCAGGATCTATGTCAGATCTTCAAAAAAGAAATGCAAAAATACAAACCACATAAAACGTATTGGCAGAAAAAGCAGATAGCATCAAAAAGCATAGCCTAACATTCCGAGAGAAACCTCCAGTACCTATACGAAGTCAGTAGCAGTACCTTTAACAGGAGTATATATGTTACGAAATATATTGCGGCAAAATGGGGACTGCGGACTGGTGGCTGTATAAAAATGTTTGGTATGCGTAAATTTTTATTATATTGGCTTGCGATTTGTAATAGTTCTAGCCAGTTATATTAATAATTATTACAATGGTTGTAGTTTCTTTTTTTATTTTTATAAAATGAAGTAGTTTATTTATTAAATAAGATTTCTTACAAACTTCAAAGAGTTTTTTTTTGGCTGCGCTAATAATAACCATATACGAAGTTTGAAATTTACTGCCACGGAGAACATAATTTACACATTTTGTAGAAATAAATGCCTTATTATATTTATGATCTTACTAGAAGAATTCCCTTCTGTTGGACATGGGATTTCGGCAATCTGGCCAGCAGCAGTTGCATCCCAACATCCCCAGCCGTCGAATGTAGCGGGACAAAATGGCGCGTCATCTGGAAATAAAATAAATCAAATGGGCATACAATACTAACTACACATACGTTTTCCATATACAATTACTAAATAAATTAATATATTTATTTACATCATATTACATTAATTAATACAAATCAAGAATTAACAGACATTTGCATTTGAGGGAAGAAGAGATGACCCATGAAACAATTACACGCGTTTTCATGTATTACGTTCACTAAACATTAATAATAACCAAAAGGGCTTCAGACCGCGTAAGAAATGAGTACGGGCATAGGACGTACTGCCTCTTGTAAACTGACAGTATGAGAAAGGAATGTAAGAATTATCTGGATTTTTATACATCAATCCAAGTGAAAAATTAAAACTGTATGAAAAAAATCTCTTTTTAGATTTCACACCTATCACAATTCTACATTTAGAACACACTTCATGTACGAAAGCTTACAGTAAATAAAATATATAAAAAAATTTCATCTAAAGACTATTTCTGTTAGCTTGATTCGTACTATAATGTATGAAATAAAATATTTACATCACCTCTTGACCATAACACACAAAAATTGCAGTTGCTCTTAATATCTTCATATTTATTGGCTGAATTAACATAAATATAATGTTACGAATTTTGAATATGGATGATTTTAATGCTGTTATATGTGAAAATCTTGTATTTTGCTGCATAATGTAATGCACAAACTCCTAAGATCGTAATAATAATGTAATGCAGAAACGTAATAATAATGTAATGTAGTCCGTTAATGTAATGCAGAAACTCCTAAATAGAAAAGTAAGAATACAGGGACAAGTCTACTTAACATTGAGTAAATGGATATCTTGCTAATTTGGCGAGAAATCGCTCGAAGTAGCCAAACTTGGTGACCATTTGGCGACATTTTAGTCCGGTCCTTGTATCACCGTAATAGGTATTAGTCAGTTCCTTACTTATTTTTGTTGCGAGTTGTTAGTTCCGCGTAAACTGATATATGTCTGAGTTAGCTTTCAATTTTGATGCGCTTTACCGCGCGTTGAGGTTAACGTTCTTAGTAGTTTGAAGGATAATTATGACGCTGTGAACATCTGTCCGATAACTTCAGAGGAAAATTCCGGAAATTCGAAGTGTTTTTATTTTCTGATAAAAAATGTTATTAATCTATAATTGGATTAATAAATTTTTTTATCAGAAAAGCATTTCATCTGTTAGGAATCTATTAAAAGCAACTGGAAGTTTTGAGTGTTATAGTCAAGAAGTCAAATAATTATTTTATATCATACTTTTCAGTACGAATCAAGCTCACAGAAATAGCCTTGAGATAAAATAAACTTATATTTACTTTATAAAGTTTTTTTTTGTTTTGAAATTTATTAAGAATCATTTTCTGTATTTATTAAGCATCATATGTTTATTAAACAAGTGTAATTTCACTCAGTTCTAATTAAATTTTGCGTAATCGATTATTTTTGGAAATTCTTAATGTTTTGTTCAGATTTAATACCTGACTATAATAATTGTAATCGCAATTGATTATTTTTGGAAATTCATAATGTTTTATTCACATTTAACAGTTGATTCAGTAAGTAATTTTCAGCGCTGCCGTTATACTTTATTAGCTAGTAGCGCGTGCCATCTCTTAATGAGGCGCTACAAGAATCCTTCCACGAGCTATCACATGCAAGTGATTCGGTAGAACGTTGTTTTACAATAGAGATTTGTACCTTAAAAATAGCCTTTAAAAATCATTTTTATATCGCATCATACATTTTATCGTATTCATGTCTGAAACAGTCTGCTAAAATTATGGAATTGTGCAGAAGCTAGTTTGGATTTGGGCACATTAAGTTGCCTTTAGTCAACTTTGATTAAATAAATCTTTCAGTTTTCTTCACGCTTTGATTTTCTTTCAGTCTTTAATTACATTTTCATAAATACACATACATGATCGAACAATAGTTGTATCAACTCTAACTTAATAATACCTGCTACAGAAATTGTTTTATGTTAAAACTGTTTTGAAACTATTTACTTCTGTTTCCTTGACAACGTTTCAAGATATTTTGATTTTCATCGAATACCTAATGCATTTGTATTCATGTTATAATGACTGTAAGTATTACTGTTTGTTCTCACTTTAAATATTTAGATTTATACCGTATATATTATGCATTCGGAGTGATATCGTTGGTCACAACATCGAAAGACTGCACGAATGTGCAAATAAATCATTCCGTTTTGTCGGAATAATTTTGCTACAAATGAATTATCAAAATTATTTATCTACACCTATTTCAACAAATGGATCAGTCTATATATCATGCTAATAGTCATTATTTGTCCAGCCAAACAATATGCGATATGAATGAATGCACAATTAAATTTTAATAAATTGGGAATAATTTAGTAAAGAGTATAGAAATAATGCATAGAGTTAGGATATACTGCTAGTTTTGTTTGGTTTAACCAACAGAAAATGAGCGCCTCGAAAATCAGCCACAGTATCCCACGTGCAAAAGGCAAATGGTTTCGTGCTCGTTTACCTGATCTTTTTCCTCAGTCTGAATATTAGGCAGCTGACGATAAATGGTAGAATTTTCCCCTTTTTTCTAGTTTTGCAAAGTTTCCAAACGTATTTACAAATTATTCTTTCTACCGTAAATCTATATCATTTGCTTGCCTTTTATACAAATCTACAGTTTAATTCCGATCTTTAGGAAACTTGCCACTCTCGACCTTCAAAACAAAAGGAAGGTCACGGTCTACATAAGCTTTCTCAAAAACCAGCCTAACCAGCACTCTTTATATACTTACATTTAACGCTAATTTAACGAATTTTTGATTAACAACTCAACGATTTTAAAGCTTTGTGTTGCTATTCCGCAAAGTGTAAAACATATGTATGTGTTACAAATTTAATCAGAAAACACGGCGATATAAAAATATTGTGTTACCACTCGGGAAAGCGCAATTAAATTAATTTGTCTCGAATTTAATAAACAAACTCTGGCTATTTAAGAGAAATGCGTTGCCACTGCCTAAATTAAAATATTTTAAAGTACGTTATCGGTCATAAAAGCATAAAATATTTAATTCTTGACACACTAACACTTTCTTTGCTTTCTGAAAGCGAATTTGTAATAGCTCTCACAAAGCATTACTTTCGCTGTGAAATCATTTATACCACCAAAAATGAAAATTGATTGCTCGGTCTACTTCTCAAGCATGAAAGAAAAAGGCATCCCGAGCTTCAGAAACAAACGAGCAACAGGAAGCAAGACTGGGAAACATTCTAGTAAGCACAGTTCAAGCTTGTTCGTCTGAAACAGACGAGAAAACGGGAAGCGCAAGACTTGAAAACTTTGAATACGCACTGCTCAAGCCCGTTCGTCTGAAACAGACGAGCAACAAGAAGCAAGACTGGAAAATGTTCGTGTTAGCACTGGTTAAGCTCGTTCGTCTGAAACACATGAGCAATGGGAAGCAAGACTGCAAAATGTTCCAGTACGCACCGCTCCATCCAGACGAACACTGCACGCTGTTAAATCTTTGTGAATTCCAATAAAATGCTAATTATGATTAGAGTCTTCATCCAAATGTGGTCGTCGGAAAGATAGATAAATTATGCGTGTATTGCAGAGCGCTCAAATTTAAGAACGGAGCAGCAGGAATGTGCTGTGCGGATGGAAAAGTGAAACGGCCAGAATTAAATTCACCACCCAAAGCCATTATCAACCTTGATATCAGGTGACACAAGCCAACGGAACATGCAAAAATACACATGAAGAATAATACATTTTATAACTGAATTAAAACAAAAATTTTCTTTCCTTTAAAGTAGCATTACAACGCATGCCTGGAAACGGCTAGTTACAAATAAATTTAGTAATATTCCTATAGAAACAGTGTCTTTTGACAAGAGTGACGACCATGAATACAAACGTAAAGGAGCAACACTTATGGTCAATGCATTTATCAACCACAGTGAATGCTTGTGGTTCATACAGCATGGCTCTTTTTATAACCTTAATTTGCTACCTTAATTAAATTTAGCACAGTAACAGAAACAAAATTTATTCAATTACAGTCACATACAAATTCTCAGAAGCAACATCATCACCCACTTCTTTCAGCATACTAACAAAAGAATATTATTAAATCCTTTTATATGCGTGCTTTCCTACCTGATATTCTTACTAAACGGATCTAGACGGATTCTTACCTGTTGCGGTGAACGACAAAGAAGTTAGCTTCTTTGATCGGATAGCATTTATCTGTAATGCATGTAAATAGCAAATTACTGATAATAATTTTAACATCTAATATAATATAGTATTGCGTGCGCCTGGATTCGTGATAGATTGAACGCACACAGGTCCGATGATAAGTTAATAAAATTTATTTTATCAACAGAAACACTTCAACATTATGGAATTTTCCACAGAAATACTCGTACAGCTGTTTACAGTATCAACAAGTAAAATAACTAGTTACCCTTCAAATTTCTAACAACGTTAAACAGAACGCAATGCAAAGCGCATCTAAAGAGAAAGCTAACCTGGAACTCTCTCCGATCTTAGGCTAAACTAATAATTCGCAAAAATAACAACTACTACTAAGAGCTCTCTGGCTTCACATACTTTTCAACCGGCTGTCGAGATATTCCTAATACTTCCTCCTTCTCGAAATTACTGGAAAGCAATATGACGGTCGAATTATTGTCCCAGAAAATATAGTGATCGATTACATTTATTCAGCTACAATACTTATTACGCTGATAAATGGACTGGACTAAAAAATGTCGTCAAATGTTTGCCAAATTTGGCGATTTCTTGCCAAATTTAGCCACAAAACCGTTCTCAGCTTGGTGATATCTCGCCAAATTACCGAGATGACTCAATTTAAATTTAATGTTAATTTAATGTAATTTAATGTAAATTTTACTCAATGTTAAATGGACACTTGCCTCTGTATTCTTACTTTTCCGGCACAGCTAATTTCTTCAGGTTTTTTATCTGACATTACGGAGAGAGATACAAAAATTTCCCAAATGCTTGAACTAAAATCATCTACGTACAAAATTCGTAACATTGCCTCCTTTCCGAGGACTGCACGTCCCGGGCAGTACAATCCCAGGACAGGAAGCCAGACATACAACTAAGAAAAATCAATGCGATACATAAACAATAATTGCAAAAAATAACAAAAAACAAATCAAATGTTAAATCAATAAATTAGCACACAAATTTATGATTTTAGAAACAAATAGGACCATGGTGTTAGTATATTATTTACATTATATACACTACATGCTATGGCCATAGTAAGAGGCTAACCTATCGTAATGAATGACTTTAGGTTTAGAATTCAGCGATACGTTCCGAACTACGACGTCGTTCAGCCTGCTTAGGACTGAGTACGGACCATCCCAAGGTGACTGTAGTTTACGAGAGAGTCATTTCCGTCGAATCGGATTCCACAACCATACCTTGTGTCTTTCGTTGAATCGATGTCCGGTAGCCCTCGTGTATTATCGAGTCTTCATCTTCTCCGTAGCCAAGTTCACTCGCTCTCGTGAAAAACTGTTCATCAACCTTCAAACCGTACCTGGAGATCTTGGATGTACTCTTCAGGCGGTGAAGGCGCATCTGGAGGGCGACCAAATAAGGGATCACAAGACAGACAACGTTCCCGACTGAAGATCATCTGTGATAAGGAATAACCCGTAGTCTCGAGGACGGCACTGCGATAGGCCAGTAAGAAAAGTGGCAATTTCTTGTCCCAGCCCTTTTGGTTTGTGGAAGCCACCAACGAGAAGTTATTAAGGACAGTTCGATTAAACCTCTCTATCATACCCTCTGACTGGAAATATACAAGTGTCGTTTGGATTTTGTCTATGTCGAGTAGCTTGAAGAGTTCTTTTATTATGGCTGATGCAAAATTTCTTCCTTGATTGGAACGTAACTTATTGTGCGACCAGATTTAGCCGCTTGTGTTTCTTTTCGATCCTGGAACAATTCTTAAGCTTTCAGAGCAGGGCCTTGCAGAAAACGCGTCGGCGTTTCGATGACGGATAGTTATGTCCGTCAAACAATGAGACTGAATGCTGTTCGTTGTTTTTTAAGTCCAAGAGAAAATTATATTTCTTTAAAAAGACCAATCCGAATATGCAAGTATCTGTAATATCTGCCACACATGCCGTGTAATGGTAGGCGGCACTTCAAAACGAGATGCTTACATTTATCTTTCCATCAGTTTCGATTTTATCACCAGATGCAATCTGGAGGGTAACACAGGATGTCGTCCAAATGAGTTCATCTTTAACCTGTTCAGCAAAATCTTTGCGAATGGTGGTAACATTGCCTCCCGTATCGATGGTCATATTGCGAGGAAATCCGTTGATGTGCCCCATGAATAAAGAGTCCATTATTGCCGCTATTCACTGCAGAAATCTGAAGCGTTTTAAAATGGTGCTCCTCATTATCTTCCGAACTCCGCTCTGGTAGAACTCCGCTCTAGCCTCTAATCTGTTACTTGCATTGTTGCTAGGGAGTGAACGTACGTTCCGTGCCGTGGGCTGTTTTGCAATTTTTCTGTACGCGGCCTCCAACACAGCAATTACAGGACTTTAGTGTTAGTTTTTTGTTACTCCTATTCGGTATCAAGACGTTGACTTGTCTGGTTACATCGTCTAAACGAGCAAACAATTGATCCACTGGCTCTTGGGCTTGAGCAGCTCTGATTAGGTGGCGGTCTAAAGGAGTTGCTTCCTGGGTTGCCTCGAATTTCATGGTGTGTACCTAGGCGCTTTTTAAATCTTTGACATTCGCCATTCGTAGAGCCTTCTGTGTTTCAAGATCACGGGATGCCATCGATGAACTACTGTAGGGAGAGGATTTCCATTGTTAGTGTCGGGCACTGCGAAAAGGGGAGGTGGGACAGTCTTTAAACAACTGTGTTGAGCTCCTGAAGTGTTTCTGTGGGTGCTGTTGACTAGATTTCAATTGATGCCTGCTGTAGTCTTTTAAAGATTTCTCCCCAAAGCGCAGCTCTAACGCGCCGGATAGAGCTTCGAAGTCTAGCCTTCGGATTTCGGGAAGAGTCTGAAGGATATCCGCTGCATCTGCTCTCAGAAAAGCGGAGGGATGACAGGCCTTAGCTTAAGAATCCTCTCCATTTGCTTCCGCTACTATAGAAAACTATGTCTTATACACTTACTAGGAGGTATTCCTATCATATGTGGATAGATTATGGGTAAAAATTTATAACCATTAGAAATGCACTCTGCCATCGCTAGGAATTTCTTGAAAGTATTAAACTCTTTCGCGACCGCAGGAACATTGTCATAATTTTTTGTTCGATTTGTTATTGGATGACAAAACCATTTCTTCTATTTGTTGCTCCATGGCAGACACTCTTTCCTTAATTCCTCTAACTTTTTCTTCAACCATGTCTATTCCCCTTCCATAGCTTCGGATTTGTTTTCTATTATGCAGGTAATTTTTCTTTTAATTTCCACTTGAACAGCTTCCATCTCTGCTTTAAATGATTTTTGAACAGCATTCATCTCTGCTATAATGGATTCTTTGCTTGCTTCCACTTTTTCTTGACCATCTTTTTTTGAACAAATTTCATCTCTCCTTTAATGGATTCTTGACCAGCTTCCACCTTTTTTTTGACCAGCTTCCATCTTTCTCCAACGGCTTTCATCTCAACTTTAACGGGTTCTTGACCAGGTTCCATCTTTCTTGAACATCTTTCACCACCTCTATAATGGAGTTGACTGCCCCTTTCATCTTTTGTTGGAATGCTGCAAAGGCAGACACAAGCTGTCTTAGTTGCTCTTCCGTCACTCTTGTCACTGGCATTCAATCCCACTTCTGACACCAAAAACTGTTGCGTGTGTACGGGTTCGTAATAGATTGAATGCACACAGGTCCGATGATAAGTTAATAAAATTTCTTTTATCAACAGAAACACTTCAAAGTTATGGAATTTTTCCCAGAAATACTCGTACAGATGTTTACAGTATCACAAAATACAATCCATAGTTAAACTTTAAACTACTATGAACGTTAAATACATTGGAAAGCAAAGCACATCTAAATACACAGCTAACCCTGAAATATCTCGGATCTCACACTTACCTAACAAATCTCAACAACAACTACTGAGCAGATGTTCTCTGCGGCCTTATATAGTTTTCAACCGGCCACCGAGATATTTCTAGTATTTTCTGCTTCTCGAAATTGCTGAAAAGCAATATGAGGGTCGAATTACGGTTACACCTAATATAGTGATCAATTACATTTACTCAGTTACAATACTGATTACTATGATACAGAGACTGGACCAAATACTTCTGGCGATTTCTCGTCAATAGGGAAATTTAAAATATATTGACCTTAAAGTCCTCTTAATACAGTATATTGCTAGAAGGTTCCAGCGAAATGCATATCATATTAAAATGGTCTTCGCATTTTTTTAGAATCACTGCTATGAAGTCTAAAAGAAGGCAAAAACATTGTTAAGCAACTAGAGTTCTATGTGAAAGCAGTTCAACTAGAGTTCCTAAATTCTTCCACTGGATGAACAAACAGAGTTCCTAAATACTTCTAATGGATGAACAGCGTAGATCTTCCAGTTTTACCTTTACAGATAGTTATTAAACATTACGAAATTTCGAACGAACTGCTAAAAATAAATAAAAATAGTAGAATCTAGCAGCCAATTTTTGGTGGGAAAATACAGCGCGTACGAAAAATGATGCTGCAGAAAAAACCTAGAAGATATTTTGCCAAAAGGCAGCTTTCTCTTAATAATGCTGAGCCGCGGGAGTAAAAATAAAAGCTAAAATAAATAAAAAGTCAGTAATTGTTTAATGTTAATACTGTGATCAGTTATAGATACTGTAAAAAACATACGTTTTTAATTATACAAGGGAAGTTTGGCAGTTTTATTAATTTTCGTCTGTTACATTTTTGTTTTACTTATATTGAAAATTCAAATAACCTTAAAATTTTTAGGATCTTGCCTTTCATATTACAGATGACTAATGCTTATGTAAAAGAGCAATACCGGTAAGCAGAAGTTAAAGCTCAGTAGTAAAATAACATTATTCAGTAAAATGGTTTAGCATTAGAATAATAAGAATTAGAATCGTTAGAATAAGCGTAAAGTAAAGTTTTTCACAACGCTTGTGCCTTTTGTTCTCAAAAGACGTAAATTATTTTTTAAATCAGCAGTAATAGAATTGCAAATTTATTTTTATATATTGTTTTTCATATTGTTCGAGGACTGTCCTTCAAGCCCGCAATAACATAAAAAATAACTGCGCAAATTTCAGCTCATTTGTTATGTATTGCTGACTGTAGTTTCAAAACCTCACAGCATTTTTACGTCCCGCTTTTTATTATAAAGGAGAAGACAGAAACACTTTCATGTCCTCATTTCTTCCAGCGTTTTTAAGAAAGCAATTTTCTAATGGAAAGAAGTCATTATGCCAAATTAGATTTTTTTTACTCGCCAAGAAAATACCAGAATTGTCCCAAAACATCAAATTTACTTTTCTGACAAAAATAACTAGAATATTCATTTACTTGACCATGTTTACGAGACACACACATTTAATAGCAGCAAAATGCCATTAAGAAAATTATCATAAAACACCCTAATTTGGCCGATATTTCCGTACAAATGTTTTTTTATTAAAAACTCTCACAGGGCTTGATATACAATTCATAATATATATTCGATATAATATATGTATGCGAAGTCTTTCATGAAATACAATTTTCTGAATATGCAATACAAAACACAGAATTACTCTGTTCCTCAAATAACTGTGGCAATAAAATAATAATCACATACCAATTTATTCCTGAAGTATTACTGGTTTCAGTTGTAATATATTTAACGTGATCTAACACTACTAGAACAACATATTAATGTAATATCTTCGCACTATGCACTATGTTTTGTTGTTGAGCGTGTGAGGATTAAGCAAAATACATCAGAGGCCCTAACTTTCATTGATAAAATACAGAATGAAAGCAATATATAAGTATACACTTGCAGCGTGCAATACGATAAATGCAGCATGCAGTAAATTTTATAATTACTTTAATTAAATATAAAAAAAGCACTGCCGATATTTTATTAATGCCGTCCAGATGGTATGGTGGTTAGGGAAGCCTGACTGCGAAACCGAAGGGCTTGCGATCGAATCCCGGGGAAGGTATGGTTGTAACTGTTCGTCACTGCATAGGAGGCGATGGTGGCCCACCTATTAGGTGCCTGCATAATAAAGAGACCACCGCATCTGGCCTGGTATACATTAATGGACTGTGTCTGTGTTACACTAACTGTTCGCAATCTGCCATTGGAAAAAATATTAATTAATGCTCATCCTCTTTACATATATTACATGAGCGTTGCAAAATGCATTACAAAATTTTAATTTATTTTCATTAACAAGTTACTTTGTGTAACTCCGGAACATACATTCAAAATAATGAGCTATTTAAAGACACGCAGCCAAACCTGAATAGCAAGCTTATTTCTTCTACTGAAGACTGGAGTACCACTGCGCTGTTTCTTAGGTTGACAGTACAAGCGGCGGGGAAGGGACAATATTCTTATCCCTTTCCCTTCCGATTGTAGAAGTAAGGTAAGCCGAGTTTCCCCATTTATAGAGAATAATTGATAAGTTTTAAAAATTCGGTTAGTTTTATGAAGTAGTTTAAACTGGAGATAGTTTGATGGTGTAGAACAGTAGCTATTATCTTTTAGCTGCTAAGCTTAAATATTTATTATATATCAACAATTTCATTATATATATGGATCACAGGATGATTAGACAAGTTGTTTTAGCTATTTTAAATTGGTGTTTATGTTCTTGCTATTTGACTTCATTCTAAGACGAAAACAACTGCCTTATGATAATTAAGCATAGCCAACATATAAAGTTTTAAAAGCAGCAATATTAAACCAAGAGTCAAAATCTATTCCATGGCAGAACTCTACATTATTTTCTACATTTACTTTAGGTCTTAAAATACACTGGTTTCCAAATCTTAAAGGAAAAATTACAAAAGCGGATTGGGTTGTTTATAAAATTTGAATATGTTATCAAATAATTATTGCTCACTAAAACTGCAGTATGCAAATTAGAGGTGCTGCAATCGGAATACGTCATCTGCGAACAGTATAAAATCGCATGTTTCAAAGCAAGCAAGCAAATTTTGCTGTGATACTCAGATAACAAATCTGGGATAGCCAAATCATAAAAATGACCCCAGGCATCATTTCCCCGAAGAACTGCGATGGAGAGCTAGTGGGAGAACAGAAACCGAACAAAGTCAGACAGAAGTGACCAGATGGCTAATTAGGAGTGCTTCTGTTGTTCATAGAATTTAGCAACAATGT